TGGTGATCAAATAAATGTGGGGACCTTAGAGGGGTGGGAATAGACAAGAAAAATTCTACCTTGAATATTTGGTAGATTGTGATATTAAAAGCTTTAGATTTTAAATAGAAGAAGAGGTTTGGGCTCTAAGATAACTTTAGAGAATTTACCTCTAAATTGCTTGCAAGATGCCCAAACGGAAGAGAGTTCATTCAGACAAAGATTTGAGGGTCATCAGAATGTATGGATAAGAAAAATGATTGGAATGACCTTTTTTTTGCAAAAAGAAAAGAATATGATCCTACAAAACAGTCAGGGCCAGCCCCAGTAGCCTACTGGTTAAGTTTGGCATGCTCCACTTTGGTGGCCAGGTTCAGTTCCTGGGTGCAGACCTACACTACTCATCTGTCAGTGGACATGCTGTGGTGGCAGCTCACATGAAAAAAAAAAAGAGGAAGATTGGCAACAGATGTTAACTCAGGGTGAATCTCCCTCAGCAAAAAAAAAAAAAAAAGTCAAATTTAAGAGTTGGGTGAAGTCTGAACTGGCTGCTACCTGCAGGGCCAAGGTAAATTCTTCCATTTCAGTGACTCCAGGAATGATCTGAAAAGCTTCTCCAACTAGGGCCCAGCTTCCTGGTCTGTTGCCTTGGTCCCAGTTTTAGCATTTCAGTCCATCTTCCTAAGATAGAGGTGTAGACAGATTGTTTTGTTTGATCCCACACTTGCCCTTGGATCTTGACTTTCTCTACTCCATGTTTTACAGTCTGTGAATAAATTCCACCCAGCTCCTATGATCAGGTCTATCTACCAGAACTCCAACCCAGGAATGGCCCTCAGAGCTCCTCCTTAACTGGGAAGGGAACATATAAGGCTTCAGTGAAGCAGGCAGAAAACTATCAGAGAAGAAAAGAAAAATATTGATTATCTGGCCACCATTTTTCTAATTGTCCTGTCACTTTTGTATCACTAACAGTTTTTCCCAAATTGGCGAAAATTAATTCTAGATACACTAACTCATTGCTTTCATGGCATCCTTCTGGGCATGCATTTATTATTAATATAATTAACATGTTTTCATATACTCTGCTTTGAGAGAAGATTCAAGGAGTTTAAGTTCCTCTTTAACACTGTGCCCTGCCTTCTTGGTAGTCTTGTAATGTTTATCAGGAGAGTGTCCTCAGAGTTCTTGACAGAATCGTCCAATGATTTGACTTCTTTTGTCCCCTTCCCTTGTTTCCCTATTCTCTGTTCCTTCCTCAAGTCTGAAGATTTCCATATGTGTGTGGAGTATCTTCTTGATATATAATGCTGTTCCCATCCCCCTCCCACTAAGCCTATTGTTAAATATATTTACTTCTCTTTTCTCTCTTTCAATATTAAGTTCTATCCTCAAGTTATATCTGGAAAACTTTTTTTGGTTAACATTTCAAAGTAACTTTTGTATTAAATATATACCGTATACAGGGTCTGTTTTATTTTCACATTTTTACAGTGGCTTAACTTCATAGCCTTCTCAGAGTTTCAAGTAGAATTGTGAGAAATTTCATTATCTAATTGACATTTTTCTGCATGATGGACCACTCATAAGTAGAATCAATTTTAGAAATTACACAACAAATCCATTCTCACTGCATTTAGGAGGGGTTAAAAATATATTTTTTATTCTAAAAGTATTTGTGAAGGGATAAATGTTAAAAAGATCAATTCCATAATAAGCGAAAAATGTTTGACATCTGGTTAGTGGGAGGGGGGATGAAAATAAGAAACAACTAGAGATGACATAATTTCTGAATTCTTACAAGCTTTAAATATTGTAAACCTAGCATCATGGCATCTTTTCTCCCTGAATTTCTGTTACTCTCTCCCTGCACTTTTTATTCCTGAAATCCTTTAATTATAACCCTGGCCAGCTGCGGCAGTGGGGACTGGAAATATGATTTGCTAAAACTCTCTAAGTTTTTCAGTTTCCTACAACTCACTACCTCCTATCACTTTGGACTTGCACCTCAGCTTTCAGAGAAAAAGTGGGGACACGTACTCAAATGAGATTGAGTGCAAGTCGATCCAAGGGGTGCAGGGATGGATGACACTGGGCTCAGTTATGCACCACCTGAGTTCTGCTCAAAACCACCTACATCGCCAGGGTCAGCCACTTGCCTCTCTGGTGATGGGGTGGAGGGAGAGAGGTTCTATCATCTTCTACGGCTGTGAATCCCCGGACACTGCCCCTGGTACTGCCACCTCCAACACCACAATTTTAGAATCCCCCACACGTTGCACTGATGGACAAAGACACTGCATCTGCCCATTGGCTGTCGTGGATGTCTGGAGGCTGTGGCTTCCCCAACATATACCTGGAGGGGACAAATAATCATGAGCCAGAAGTTTGGGGAGTTAATGCTGCATGGGACAGACTATAACCAGTAAAAGATAGGAAACAGAAGGAGCCAGCAAATAAACTGTTTGTCTTTCCTTCCCCCAGTGGTCTGTTCCAAGCCACAACAGTTTCATATAGCCCTTCTGGAGATTTCCTGCAACAATTAACAACCAACCGTGATGCAAAGCTGTGACCAGCTCAGGAATATACTCTCTATCAGTCACAGTTTTTCCTTCACTCCTAATTTCTTGGGATTACAGCTCCAGGAAAGCTGTAGCACACAAACTTTTGCCTCAAGGTCTGTTTTCTGGGGAAGCTTACTTAAAACATAGACCAAATATCAGCTAAAAAGGCATTTTTAGATTCCGTCTTCTAAATTGCCACTACTAAAACATAAGGACATGGAAAAGTTGAAAGAAGTGTAGAAAAATATATAGCAGGCAAATATTAATTTTAAAATTCTACTATAGTTCTAGTAAAGACAGATAAAATAAACTTTAATAAACAAAACAGCATAATTAGGAATAAAGTGGCTAAATACATAATGACAAAAGTGAATTCATCAGAAAGATTTCATAATTCTTAAGTTGTGTGCGCTTAGTAAAACATCTTCAAAATATATACAGCAAAAATGGTTGAAACAACAAAAAAGTGACAAATCCCCAATCATACTGAAAGACTTCCATTCACCTCTTTACATTAAGCAGAAAGAAACTGAAAAATAGAAACAATTTGAGCACAAAATTAACATACTTCTAGTAGCAATAAAAGAACTGGAAAAAACCCAAAATATTCTTTGATAAGTGACTAAATTAAAAGTTTGCTGTATCATCACTTAGTGGAATATTATGTAGCCAGGAAAATGAGCAAATTACAGCTACATGCAACAACATGATGAGTCTAACATAGCCTTGAATGAAAAATCAAGTTTCAGACCACACAGACAACGACACCATATTATAAACCTTAAAATCTAGAGATAGATGCATTTATGATGGAAACTATCTGAAAAAGCAAAGGAACAATAAACCCAAATTTCAGGATATTGCTTACCTCTTGGGACTGGCAGAGGGATGGAATTTGGAGGAAAGCATAGTTATAGCCTCAGTAGTATGAGTAATATTCTACCTCCTGTGATGGTTGGAGGGTTCATGACTTTTATTTTCATGCTTTATGATTTTTATGTATCAAATATTTTTATTGATATATCCCAAATTTTTATATATAAATTTTATATGTAAATATTATATAATAAATTAATATATAAAATTTAAAAATTAGTTTTAAAGATCATGTTTATTAAGTAGAGCAAGGTATACCATTATACTGATAAAATTATTTAGGAGAATGAGTTTTAACAATTTCATTACTAAGTTTTATTCACTGTAGATCTGAATTTTGGTCTACTCACAAGAGATCCTACTTTACTATTCTGAGTTTCCTAGAGTCTCAAAGTCAACAAAATAGTAATTTTTATTTGTATTGATTGATTGATTGATTGATTGATTGATTTTGATGAGGAAGATTGGCCCTGAGGTAACATCTATTGCCAATCTTTCTCTTATTGCTGAAGGAAGATTGTCATTGAGCTAACATCTGTACCAATCTTCCTCTATTTTGTATGTGGGATGCTGCCACAGCATGGCTTGATGAGTGGTGTGTAGGTCCACACCCAGGATTTGAACCAGCGAACCTCCGGCCGCCAAAGTGGAGTGCACGAACTTAACCACCATGCCACCAGGCGACCCCGAAAATAGTAATTTTTTAAGTGATAAACTGATTCAACTTAGTGGTCTGCTTTCCAATTTGCTTCACTGTTTTTTCAATATAGAAAGGCTATATGGTATGTCCAGGAAAAGCTGACGTTTTATCTAGTTGTGTTCAGTAGTGTAACTGTAACATTGAAACTACCAGTGAACGTGTCAAAAATTCCTTAATGTAGAGGAATATCAGCATTGCTTGACGTCATTTAAATGTTCTTCCTCAAATTGCCATATGCTGTATATATATATATAGTGCTTTATACCTCCACTCTCATATCTGCAAACACAGAGCTTTAATATAAGTGATAAGCGTAGAGAACACCAAGACGATGTGCCAGTCTGTTCATTTTATTGCTACCTGCAGCCGAAGGTCCATATATAGCCTAGATCTTAAATATGCTTGCATGCACACATGCGTTAAGAGATATCATAATGATTACTAGCTGATTCCAAACAGACCTTGAATTTATTTGCTTATTAGCCATGGAAATTTGGCAGATTACTTATTATCTCTCTACCACATGTTCTGGATTTTAAAAATAGAGGTAAAGTTTTTCCCTAGTTTAGAAATTTCTTATGAAGATAAAATAAATAATGTATGTGAAGTTCGTAGCACAATGTCCTTTTTATTCATTGACAGCACTCAATATTGTAAGCTGTTGTTGTTATTATTATATAGTTGGAGGAGTGCTTACACCTGTGACCAGTTTCTTTCTCAAATGAAATGGAATTGATGTGTTATTTTATTCTTATCTAGGATTTTGGACTAGGTAGGTTCTATAAGAAGACTGCGTTTATATGTGTGGAGATTGGAAATAAAGGAATGATGAGTGTTATTAGTTTCAGCTGCAAGAAACAGAAGACCCAACTAAAAGAGGCTTAGACATTAAGGAAAATTTATTATGTCACATATCAAGAATTCTTTTATAGAGGTAGAATGGTACAGGGTTGGTTCAGAATCTGTTTTCTGCCATCCTCAGCATGTCTGTTACTCTCCCCAGCCTTATAAGATGCTATGGCAGCTTCAGGTAGCTTCTCACAAGATTGTTCAAAAGCTGGATGAAAGGCATCTCGTCCTTTTGTCTGAAGAGTATGCAAAAATCTTCCTAGAAGATGTTGTCCTGTGTCTCAATGGCCACAATTGCATCACATGTCCCTGGAAGAAGTGGGGTGAAGGTGGTAAGGTAGGTAAGTGACAGTGTTTGTCACACTGAGGATGGAAAGAAGGTATTGAAAGCAGCACTGAAAACGTTACTCAATCAACAGCCATTTCCTGTTCGACATCTAGTGCAGAGAACTATTCTATGAATATTTGGGGAAAATACAAAAAAAGATAGCAATATGTCATTAAGAAGAAAAATAAATGATAATTTTTTAATTAAAAAAGCAAAAATACTTGTGGGGACATAGAATTAAATAAAATAAAATATACAGAATTGTAAAATAGTACTATCACATTATGTATGTATAAACAAATGTCCTTATCTATACATATCTCCCGCTTATTCTTAATTACATTTCCCTCAAGGGAAATAGCACTCATTTTATTTTCAGAATTAGCATACTACGCAACTTGAAGAAATTCCTTTTTTTGGTTTTTACCTGGACAGTAACGTTTTTAAAATAAATGGGGGAACCCTAGAAAAGTTATACAGTTTGCAATTCGAGAGAAAAATTATAGTGATAAACTGAGCACTTAGCATGTGTATATAATATTGTACTTAGATTCTTAGGCTTATTGACAAATGATAAGCATAAAAACACTTACATAAACAAAAAGGTATATCATACTTTAGTTCAAAGCCATCACAGAAGCTATAAAATTCCTTGGTGCACATTTTTGAATTTTGAAAATATTGATGATTTATACATACCATATATTGAATCAAAATGGTGATCAAGAAGGTAACCAGTAAATATTTAATGGATTTGTGAACATTAGGCCTATTATTTTTAACTTGTTGCCATTATAGGTAAAAGCAATATTGAAACAAAAAATCTGCAGTAGCGTTTTTTGCTGAAGACACCATGTTTTTAAAGGCTCTGAACTCATGAAAAATTTAAAGCTAATAGCAACTTTATAAATTATTTCAACCTGCCTCCTAATTTTACTAATGAGACCAGGTAGAGAAGGGCTTAAGTGAGCTTTCCCAGTTCATCGTGCAGTCTAGCTCCTAGCTAGGACATTTGCTCGCATCCTTTTTGGCCTGCATTTGTACCTTTTTCACAAGCTCTTTCCATTTTCTCCTCTAATGTATTCGTGTCCTTCATTTTTTTCTTTCACTCTTGGAATACACAGAACCCTAAGACCCAAATTTTACAGCAGGCAAATAATATATTTTACTTAAGTTTTAAATAATTCTGTCAGAAACAGAATCTGGAGAGAGAGATTATGTTTTGAGTCAGTTGTGCTTTTTCTCCTGCAGCTTTGTTGAGATTTAATTGACAAATAAAAATTGTATACATTTAAGATATAGTATACGATGATTTGCTATACATATACATTGTGAAATAATTATCACAATCAAGCTAATTAACACGTCTATCATCTCACAGAGTTACCATTTTTTTTGTAGTGAGGGCATTTAAAATCTACTCTATTAGCAAATTTCAAATATACAATACAGTATTATTAACTATAATCACCATGCTGTACATGGTTTATTCAATTTATAACAAAGTTTGTACCCTTCGACCAACAGCTCCCCATTTCCTCAAGACTTAGCTTCGGACAACCACTATTCTACTCTGTGTTTCTACGAGTTCAACTTTTTTAGATTCCACATTTCACTGTGTTTTTATTTGCTCAAGTTTGGATTCTAATATCTGGACGATCACTTCTCTAAAAGCTGGAAAATCTAAACGCCAGCTCCCTTCTTCACCAGCACACCATTCTCAATGTTATCCAAAAGAATATTTAATAACGTAGAAGAATAACCACAATAATTATAGAAGAATAACAAAACAGAAAATCAAAGTAGTTCAAAGTCCCTTCCCCAAAGCTACGTATAATGCTTGCAGGGAGATTGGTCTGAATAAAGCCAATTTTATCTCCAATCCTTGGCCCTGCACTAAAATCTACTCCCTCCTCCAAACTAGAATGCCCTGAAGAGGACATGGCCCAACATAATCTTCTGAATATACCTCTGTTGGGTCTATATTGCTTAAGTCATTATCTATTTGATATAAGCACATCCTTTAGGCAATTTCCACCTGGTCTCATTACTGTTCATGTCCATTTCCCATGTCGGTAAAATCAACTAGCTATTTTCCATTCAGAGATTCATTCCTTTGATAAATATTGGTTAAGCACTTGACATGTTCCCTGCATCCTAATAAGCTCTGGGGATACTTTGGTGAGCAAGAAAGAGACAGTTTCTTTCCTTACAGAGCATTTAGTACAGCAGGGAAGACATGCAATCAGATAACTAAACTCAACATGCTACTTATTCTGATCCAGAAATTATGGAGTATGATGAAAGCACATGACAGCGACACCTAATATAACTTCCACAGGAGGTTATTTTTAAACTGGACACTGAACACTGAGTGGGAAGTTCAGTAAATTAGCAAAATGGGCTAATTTCATTTTTACTGTTGTGTTTGGTAATTCTTCCTTATTAGTTTTTCAACAAAACCATTTGTTAAAGAATATTTTAAAATCTAGAAGCCTTTCTTTGGGAAACCTTGATTTAACTCTTTTTCTCCAGAATTTATTTGCCACATCTAGATTTCTGCACTTCCTAGAACTGAGTCTTAATATCTGAATTTAATTTCTGCTGTGGCTGTGGCTTCTCAAAGAAGAGTCATTGACTGCCTATCTTAGAATCACTTCTGGTAGTGTTTAAACATGGAGATTATAGGTACCCTCCAAGTCCCACTGAAACAATCTCTGGGACTGTGAGGAGAGGAAGAGAGAGAACTCAAATTTGCCTGCTTAACAAGTTCCCCTCATACACACTAAAGTTGGAGACTTACGGGCTGCCATCATTGAGTGTATAGTCAGAATGTAACTAAAATCTCCTTCCCCAATTTTCTTCTAGTTGCCTTAAAACGGAGTCTATGTGTCTTTTCAAGGGAAAACTATCCCTAGCTGTCCCAGTGCCAGACACTCACCTTGGCTATTTCCCATTGTACTACCTAAGGCACTATGTTGGTATATAAACATTTCTTGGGACTAAAATGACACATGCCTAGGGCAATCACCAGTTATTGTGGCCCTCTTACTTGGTGGTAGTAGAAAATAGAAAGATCAGTGTTCAAAAATTCCTGCTTAGCCTATCCAGAGCTGTCTATTTTTATCTAGGGAAACAAAATTACAGTTACTATAAATGACTAGCCTCTGGCCAATTCAGAAAATTGGGGAAAAATTTATCAAAGTATCCTGCAGTTCTTGACCCAAATCCAATGTTCTATCAATTAACTAATTTTGGTGTGCGTTTATTGTACATATTGCATAAAACGAATGTATTAGTTAGGATATGTTAGTTAGGAACACCCATTGGTTAGGATATGTATTAGTTAGGAATGTATTAGTTAAGATAAGTTATTAGATCTAACTAATAATAAGATAATTGGGTAGGATAACTCATTATCCCTATTAGCTAGGGTAAGCCAACGATAGTGACTTAAGGAAGATTAAAGTTTCTTTCTCTCTCATGTTAATAGTCCCAGAGGAGTGGTCCAAGTTGAGGTTGGCTCTGCTCCACATGGTTTTTAAGTGACCAAAGTTCCTTTCCTGATGTACTCCTTCATTCTCTAGGACATTCTACCTGTCTGCATGGTAAATCAGGTTGCTATAGGTTCCAGTTAGTGGGAAGGACAATGAGAGCAGGGAGAAAGTCCAAGAAATGGATGTATCACTTCCATTCATAGCCCAGTAGTGAAAACCTAGTCTTGTGGTCACACATAGCTGAGAATGAGGCTCAGAAATGTGATCTCTGACTGGGTGGCTACATGCCCAGTCCTAACTGTATTTTTATGGAAAAACGGAAGAACCGATATTGGTGTACAACTAGCAGTCTCCGTAACTATACTTTAGAAATGCAAACTGAAGGCTGTTGCTTTTGCCATTAAAAAGGATTATTGACCCTGAAAAAAAATGCATGTATTTTTTTCATGAGCATAGGACTTTATTAGTTTAGTAAGGAATGAGGCATATTCCTTTTTTGAAAAGAAGTCTGTGCCATTTTTCTATTCCTACCTAGCAAACCTTGCCAAAACTTACTGGCTTAAAACAAGGATCAGCAAACTTATCTGTAAAGGGGAAAACAGTTGAGGCCAGCCTGGTGGCGCAGTGGTTAAGTTCACACCTTCCGCTTCTTGGCGGCCTGGGGTTCGCCGGTTTGGATCCTGGGTGCAGACATGGCACCTCTTGGCAAAAGCCATGCTGTGGCAGGCATCCCACATATAAAATAGAGGAAGATGGACTTGGATGTTAGCTCAGGGCCAGTCTTCCTCAGCGAAAAGAGGAGGATTGGCAGTAGTTAGCTCAGGGCTAATCTTCCTTAAAAAAAAAGGGGTGGAGAGATAGTAAATATTTTAGGCTCTGCAGACCATATGGTCTCTGTTGCAAGTACTCAACTCTGCCATTGTGGTGTGAAAGCAGCCATAGGCAATACATAACAAATAAATGTGGCTGTGTTCCAATAAAACTTTATTTTTAAAACACATGGTGGTCTGGATTTGGCCCATGAGCTGTAGCTTGGCTGATCCCCAGCGTAAAACAACAACTATTCTATTTTTGCCTAAAATTCTATGGGATAAGTTGGTTGTCCACTTAGCAGACACGTCATCTGAGGGTGAATGATCTAGAATGGCCTGGTTCATGCGCCTGGTGTTGGCAGCCTGGTTGGTCCAGGAAGCCTTAGCTGGCATGGCTCATCTCTATCCTATGTGGGTTCTTATTCTCCAGGACACTAGCTTAAGCTTCTTCACAAGGCTGTTTCAGGGCAGCAAAGACAGGAAGCCCTAATGTGCCGGTGTTTATCAAACCTCTGCTTTCATCCTGTTCGCTAATGCCCTGTTGACCAAAATCATGCCACTTGGCAAAGCCCAGATTGAAGGGATAGAAAAATAGCTCTTGATGAGAGGAACAGCAAAGTCATATTACAAAGGTGTGTGTATACAGCGATAGGAGGAATTATTTTAGTCATCTTTGTAAGCAATCTACCTCAAAGTCTTTGAAATAATAAAGGACATTCCAATTCAATTCAACGTCAGTAGTATATTTTCCTATTGCAAAATTATTTAAATGAATTTTAAGATATTTTTAACAAAAAATGATCTGCATACTTTTTGAACTATAGTGGAAAATATGTATGTAAAGCTTATTTTAAAATATTAGAAAGAATTATATTTTCCAAGAGCAGAGTAATGATCTTAAGAATAAATATCCATATTGCGGACTACCTAGAGGAGAGAGTTGTTAGCTAGGCAACTAAGCAGGGTTATCTTCAGATTGCTTATTCTTTTTTAAAATTCCTTATTTCCTGCAGCGCCTACCTTTAAAGTTTCAAGGTACACATACTGCCTGTCATCTTGATAGACATAGTGGCCTCTGGCTCAGAATTTTCTGTTCCAGCTTTCCAAACAGTGGGGTGTATAGCTGGTATCAGTCCTTGTATTAACTTATCAAGAAGTTTTGAAGAACTGAAGCCATGGATTTAATCTAATTCAGGGGGTGGGGGTTAAAACCTCAAGACATGCCCTTGAGCTTCTATATGTGAGTCACTTTAGGAAATAGAAGTTTTTCTAAATTAATCATACTGTATAAATTTATTATGAAAGTATTAGTAATTATTTACCCTCTTTACAAAAATCTAATAATATAAAGGAGTAACTGTTTCATCTACAAAGTCAGTAAAATAATTTTTATAAATCCTCCTCTCCTGGAATTTTGATGAACTAATTGAAACGCTTTCTAGTGTGTTAGAAAAGCAAAATTGTTTGATGTTCTGTGTAATAGGATGAATTAAATTACTAGAGTGCTACCATTATTGATGCTTACTAGGTACCAGGCATCATATGAAATACATTATCCATCAAAAGGTCTACAGGATCCTATGAGGACCTGTCATATTTATTTTTTCTTTTCAGATGAAAAAAACTAAAACTCAGAAAGGTTAGGGAATTTGCCCAAGGTCCAGTGGTGGCTTGGTAAGCTGGCACATGGGGAATAAAGCCTTGATTTATAGCATTTGCCGATCTTGGGGATCTAAATAATATCCACTTGGCTGATTTCAGACTACCAGTGTGATGTCACTGAACATGACTTTGGGAAGAGATGCACAGAATCAGCTATCGAGAGCCAGTAGGAGGTAGCTCTTGCACACCACTGCCAAGATCACAAACAGCAGGAAGTTGGAGAGCGAGGATTTGAGCTCCTGGTTGTCTACAAAGTCCATTTAAACCATCATATAGTAGTGCCTTTCAACATAATAAGCTATTCACTTGACAAATTACAAAGATAATGAATGTCAGTAACATCTTTAATTCCAGAAACATAGATGTTTCTTTATTCTCTTTTGGAAACTAATACGGGAAATATTCTCTAAGAATTATTTAATAATCATGTGTTAGAGGCCAAGAAAACCTGTATGTTTCTTCCATCTTCCATGACTCTTCCTTTTCATTCTTAAGCTTTTGCAATTTTTACTAGTGTTGCGTCTTATTCACATTTTATTGCCACTTCATCTTAAAATCCTTATGCTTGGCCCCCAACAAATTCCTTTGGTGTTTCAAACTGTTTGCTGCTTTTTTTAATAGTTCTTTTTCTTACCTTATGGCATAACTTTCACACTTCTGCTTTTTAGTTCTTCAACATTCTGTCATTCCTTCCTTGTTTGAGCAAGTAAGTAGATGGATAAAAGTCTAATTACTAAAATAAAGGGGGTTCACATTTTAAGAAGTATTTAACCTCTCTGTACCCGAGAATCCTTATCTGTAAATGGAGATAATAATACTACTTACCTTGTGTTGTATGAGTGGTTGATCAATTAAAAAAAAGAAAAACAGGAACTATAAGAGAAACAAATTTGGAGGGTCTGAGATGATGGGGGTATGGATGATGCCTTGATGGGTGAGATCCATCCAGATTATTTTATGCTGATGAAAGATATCATTTGATGTTTGATGGGAACACATCTCAACGATATGGAAACAACAGAACTTTAGAAAGTGATAGCATTTTTTATGTAACATGAAATAAAATTGTACTTGAGTACTTTCTTCACACAACAGATTTTATACTAAAAGTTTTCATCTTTTGTTAACATAATTAAGATGCTCATGAATACCATTTACCATTACAATGGATTGAATGAATGACAAATGAGAAAATCTGGGTTTCTTTCCCCCGAAATAATCTTATATGTGTCAAGCTTTTTTAAAATATAAAGAGAACAATTTGGCAAATTGGGATGAATTTTTATCTGATTGGTAAGAGAAAATTTATGAAAACATACCTGCGATGATAAATCAATGCATGTTTGTACTATGCCAGAGCAAACGAAAGTTTTAAAACTCATCAGAATTTTTATAATTTCTTCAAGTGACTGAATTGAAGTGGGTGGATACCCAGCAAAATTTTTCTCATCTACTTCTGTAGAAAAATGAAAGTAAAAATTAAGTTGATTTTTCTTTTTATAAAATGAGCCCCATTGTATATTTTCTTCCCATATAAAGATAGAATGTATGCTGCAAAAGAGCTAACTTAAAATGGATAATTCTCACTGTCAAGGAGTAAAACAAAAATCTTACCTTCTATTTGATGTATTATTCTTGTGGCTCCGTGGCAAAATTCAATGACATCTTGAGTTTCTGTTGAAATTATTATTTTTATTATGAAGTATGTCCTAGAGTTTTGAAGAGTTGTACAAAATGGTAAATAAGGAAAATTTTTTTTGGCCTGATGCATTTTCAAGTACATCCGGCAAATGAAAACAAATCGATAGGAAACAGAGCTAATTTAGAAACTTGAGGTTAAAATGAAATAAAACCAGCAATAGGAACAGCATTGAACTCTGAGTCAGGAAATGAAGCAATGAGCGAATTTGATTTTAAATAGTGGTTAATTATAATTAAACTTCAAACATAATTTGTAAATCATGTATCAGACTACGAAATGGGACATATAACAACATTTCTACTTTGTGTCTTTTTATTCACTTTTCCTTCCTCAACTCCTACTCTAACATTGCTGTTATACTATAGAAAGCCAAGTTTCATATGACCAATAGAAGATAGTTTAATGCTGTGATAATATCAGGGGCTAGAATGGAATTTTGGGGAGAAAAATCATTGACAAAGTTTAACCAATATCCTTCTAATAAATGGAGAGTTCTGAGGATGGTATAAATGCTGCTTCAACATAAAGGAAATAAATCTATTAAACATAATACCTCTGTTCTTTCCAAAGCCAAATGATTCTCTTTATTATTCTAATGGGTTTACTTGTTAAATTTCATCACTTAGCAGACAGAATGTGCAGCTTGGCAATAACATAGTTATATTGGCATTTTTTCTGCCTACAATTAAATAACTTGAATTTTCCCTATGCATAGCATATTATACTACAGAGTTACATGTTGTTTCTCTTCAAATTTTGCTATTACCATAAGGTGCGAGCTTCACTTATTAAAACATGATAATTGAGAGCTTTAACTTTATTTTATTCAGGGGTAAATATAGGTCAGTTTTTGCATAAAACTTGGGACTCCAGTAAATCTCATTTTTGTTATAATACTGGGTTAGATTGTTATTCACCAGTAAAATAACACAGCATTTAAAAAATTTATGATAATTTATCTGTAAAAAACGTATCACTGATGAATGGTAAATCTAAACATACTCCAAACAGATTGTAAAGCAGAAGTAGTGAGAAAGCTAAATAAATAATAAATAAATTAAAGAGGAGTCAGGATTAGTCACGAAGTGAAAATGAAAGCTCTAATAATGACAAGGTTGTGAACAAAACATTTAAAGAAAATGCAAGACACATATCTTGGATTTCTAAATTTCTATTTCTATAATTTTTCTGGGCCTCATTTTATTAGAGTATGAAATCCAGCCTAATGATTATAAAGCATGCGGAACCTGCAAGGAATGCTACCAAAATTATCTTACAACATAAACATCGATTTTAGGTCCTGAATATAATCACTGTGTTGTCAAGATGTTATATGTAATAGTTTTAATCCTTCAATGTGGGTTACTATAATTCCTCCAACCTTTATTTATTTATATAAGCAATCCATTTCATTATTAGACCTCGCTTTTTGTCTTGAACATTTTATTTTTATATTAATTCTAATTTCTAGAGAACACTGGAAAATGTTTAAATTGACCATTTTTATGGAATACATGGTTTGTCATGAGCAATATAAATAAATACATTAATTGCCTTATCATACTTTTATCTGACAGATGGGTCCCCAGGCACAGAGCCTAACCTTTTATTTTGACACCTGCCACATTTTGCCAGCCCTGGCCCTTTTTCTTTGCCAGAGTGTTGCTGTGCTGTTCACCATGGTTGCACTAATCTCCAGCTTTTAAAAGGCATAATATTGGAACCCTTCTGAGAATCGCTGCTATCAATCAGCTGATACTACAACATAAAGTATTTCACAGATCCATCCAACATCCCTTCTCTCCTGTGATTCAAACACATTTTCTCTTATTTCTGTTACCTACTGGCTCAATAAGATTACATGGAGCTTGTTTTAATCTAAGACCCCATATTGTTAACCTCTGACATAAACCATTTCATTTAGCAGTAATTTAAAATTTAGAATGTACTGGAGAATGATAAAAGAAGTTATGTTTCCATTTTTATGCTGAAATACACTTCTTTACTATAAAGCAAGTATGCTATTTTAATATAGCTAAAGAGTTAAAAATAATCTTAACACGTTCATTTAAAAAAAAGCATCGGGGCAATAAAACATGTTTTGAGAATCACTGTGCACTCAATCTCAAGCCTGCACCTTTGATTTCTGGGGTGATTCCAGAAACCACTAACACATGATATGTGTCTGGATTAGTACAAACTAAAAGCACATGTCTGATCTTTTAGACAGTGATCTGGTTCTAACGAGCTCTGCAAATCTGAGGACATACAGAGGCCAGGTGAGTTGTGGAGGCCCATCCATTACCGAGATAATTTGTCATAAATTTTAAGGGATTCCCTCCTTGAGAAAAATCAGACTATAATTAGCTTTGTAAAATATTATAATCAATCTTTTGGGGAAGTATTCTGGCAACAAAGAAATACAAAAGTAGATATGTAGGTAGATAGGAGATGGATATTTGGTAGCAAACAGATAGTTCCATCAGACCAACTCAGTTTGGCTTATAAACTCATTTCAGACTGATTGTCAATTAAAGATGTGACTGCTAACAATTTATCTTCAAATATGGCATCTATTGTTTCTGAAATAAGCTTACTTGATATAATGGGAAAAGCCTTGGACTATGTTTTTAGATAAGCTAAGTTTCTTGAATAATTCAGAGACCCATTTATGCCAGCTAAGATATATATGCACATTGCAAGAAGTGTGGGATCCATATCTTAGGACATTCAAAGAAAATGCTGCTTCATGCCTGGGGCTAAGGCATATTGGAGGTGAAAGGTAATTCTAGAGTTACGGCAGCTTTTCGTGCCTCAGCATCAGCAGTTTTTGAACCTGTAGTGATGCACTATTAATATGACTCAGCTCTATTTCACATCTTCCTCTTTCTTCCCTGCCCCAACCCAACTCTCACAGCCTACTCAGAGTTTCTGCTAACTCATATTTTAAGCATACACAAAACCTTGGGTTATCATAGAAAGTCCTTTCTTCACTCATTAGATCTAAATCCAGAGACAAAAAAACTGATGGGCCCAGCTCATCTTTTCAAGCATGGCCTCAGTTCACAGCTTGCTGGCCAACCTATCCTTTGGTTCCAGTCCAATCAGCTGTAAATGGCGGAAGGCAGAAATTCACTTGTGAGTAAACATGGCCACTTAGGTGGCAAATGTTCTGGCTGAGGATGATTCCATGATTGACATGGTTGACACAGACAATATTCAAAGTGTGATTCAAAGACTGGAGCTGGTCCACTTGCTATTTGTTACCCATTCAAAACGATAAGCACATTGAGGATAATCATTTCAGAACTCTTACAGCTATTTGTTAAAGTCATTTGATGGTTGTTGAATCTAGTAATAAAAAATTTGGATTTGTGTTTTGTATACCTTTTTTGTTTATTTTTCTAGTGGTTCATTTATATTATGCTATTAAGAAATAATGGTTGGTGACAGATTAGGGCTGAGTGGGAAACTGGTCTTTCACTACAGATATTTTGAGAGGCACTGGTTTAGAAGACTTCGATTCTAATTGCGGTACTCCCCTAACCAATGAAGTAAATTATAATCCTCTGAATATCAGTTTCCTCCTAAGCAACAGGGACTATAATGGCAGTCCCTCAGCTTCCCAAGTTATTATCAGTCATGAGGCAATACAGGAGAATGAATTTTGAAAAGTTGTAACAGGCTAATCAGAATTTGGTTATTATATTTCACTGTTATTAAAGTCTCTCTCTCTCTCTAAACACACACACACACACACGTGTTCCATGGGAGAATTAGGAGTATATGCTCAACATTTCATCATAAATATAATTGTCCTATTACTTTCCCATACAGTAGTCCCCCCTTATCTGCATTTTGCTTTCCATGGTTTCAGTTACCCACGATCAACCATGATCCAAAAATATTAAATGGAAAATTCTAGAAATAAATAATTCATAAGTTTTAAATTGCACACCATTCTGAATAGCATGATGAACTCTCGCGCCCTCCCGCCCTGTCCTGCCCTGGACACCCCTTTGTCCAGTGTATCCACGCTGTATATGCTACCCGCCCGTTAGTCCCTTAGTAGCCCTCTTGGTTATCAGGTGGACTGCCACGGTATCGAGGTGCTTGTGTTCAAGTAACCCTTGTTTCACTTAATAATGGCCCCAAAGTGCAAGAGCAGTGATGCTGGCAATCTCGATATGCTGAAGAGAAGCTGTTAAGTGCTTCCTTTAAGTGAAAAAGTGGAAGTTGTCGACTTAATAAGAAAAAAAAATCATATGCTGAGGTTGCTAAGATCTATGGTAACTGTTATTACAGTATGTTGTTACAATTGCTCTATTTTGTTATTAGTTATGTTAATTTCTTATCCTGCCTAATTTATAAATTAAACTTTATCATAGGTATGTATGTACAGGAAAAAAATGTAGTATATGTAGGGTTTGGTACAATCTGTGGTTTCAGGCATCCACAGGGAGTTTTGGGACGCATCCCCAATGGATAAGGGCGGACTACTGTATAAAATGTAAGAAATGGCAGTGTAGATTTTATTCCCTGTTTATGTTTTATTTGCTAGCTTTGGCAAAAGGCAACAAGGGATCAAATTGATAAGGATTTGCTCAGGAAGCACCCTGTTTTCAATAATTAGTTGATTGTATATAAAAGATAAATGCAAAATATTTAAGCAGTATAACATTCCAAGAACTATAAGGAGGAAGTACATATTTAATAAATCAATGATACAAATATTAAAGACTAAAGATATTCAACGGAAGGGGAGAGGATTTCATGCTATGGTGATCAGAGAAGATTTATAGAACAGGTGGATTTGTACAGTATCTTGAAGATTTGAAAAGGCAGAAAGGGCAAACTAAGTTATTCAAGGCAGAACAAAACTTCAAGTGTAAGTGCAGAATCAGAACCTCTCTGTATATATGTGTTAATAGGTGTGGGTGTTCTGACAGATAGATAGATAGATAGATAGACAGATGGATGAATGGATGATAGATAGGTAAATGTCAGAAAATAAATGAAATTAGAAACAGAAAATAAGTAAAATTTAAAACCCTGAAAATTAAATTGCAATAAGCAATCTTAATTTTTTTATAGTTTTTCCCATCTAAAGCATGATACTAAATTATTAAAACCGGAACTCTTGAAATAGAATTGCTTTTACATATATAACATTTACTATCACATGTTAAATGCAAATGTTATAAATGGAAAATAATTTAACAAATAATTTTCTCCAAGTAAAACACAATATTGTATATTAAATGATAATTTTTTAAAATCTCATAATTCAAAGAATAAAAGCAATTATTAAAATATTAGTATACTTTCCTGTGGCCATCTGGCATCTCAGTCTAATGTAAAGAACAAAAAGTAAATGGCAAGAGACTTGCTGCCCCTAATAGGCAGCTTTATAACTGTAGCAATTTTATTACTTTATAATAGGATCATAATAATTAAATTACCGATTATAGAACATTATGTAAATTTGAACCACTATACATGTAGTGCCTTACTTAGAAAAGTCCACCTAGTAAGACTACCATTATTTTAAGATATAAGAACTACGATATTGTTAGTAGTGCAATTTAGTGATTTCAGTACAGGTTTTTGGTATTTCAGCATTCAATTATATGACACCAGTTTGAAGTACCAAGGTAGTGGTAACTTTCTATAATATTGTTTGATTTTCTCATTCTGAAATTTTTTACAACATAAGATTAAAATTAAGGATTTAATTGTTCAATGTATACAAAAAAGACAAATCAAAAAATGGCCAGCTATTCTAAAGTCGTCATTGCCCAACATAATAGGCAAACACATCATGGTGCTGCAAACATGTATTACAAGAGTAATCCTACTCTGGCGGCATATAAGTAAGACAGTATTGAACACGAGAGAGGTAATTCTGTGTAGGCATCTCCAAGTACACAAAATAAAATTAAAGATGGTCAAGGCAAACTGGAAATGTTTAAACAAAAAACAAAAAAAGAGAAATAGAAACTAAAGCTCTAATGTAATTTAAAAACTGCAGCTGCCGAAAAGAAAAAAGTTAATTAAAAAGATCTTAAAATTGTCAAACAAGGAGTAGAATTATTCAAAGATGAAGGAATCAGAGGAAAATGTGTAGAAATAGTTTATAACTTTCTCTGCAGTATTTCCCTGACCATGTAGATGTGAAAGGAGCTTGTCAGGTTAGAAAAATTACAAAATGGACTGAATGAAGCTTTGCCTCTTAAGGGTACAAATTTATAAAACCAAAGAATATTATTTTGCTTTCAGTTTGTCTTAAATAATTAAATTTTCTTCATTTTTTCTAGTATTTTGTTTATTTTAATAGTACTTCACTTTTATTAAGTGAATCTATGAATAATTTATTTTAAAGTGATGTTTAATATTCACAAATTATAAATTTACATATTTTTGCTTTTTACATTTTCCTCTGTGATATGTTTATATTTGAAATGTATAGAATGTTTAATTTTGCTTTTTTCCTTACTTTTAACAATATTCAAATATATAACATCAGCCTTATCATTTTATCTTAATATTAATTGCCTGTCCAAATTAATTCTGAATCGTCTTTTGATTTTTGATATTATTGATCATTCCCAACTTAAAACTTATTTCTCTTGGCTTCCTTGACGTCTCTCAACTCTGACAATTTTTCTGACTTCATCTCTTTGTCCCAAAATGCAGGTATTTGCTAAGGATCAGCTTGCTTTCTTCCCTGTACATTCTAAACTTCTCTCAAAGGTAGCTCTTGTCTCTCCCTGCTTGAATCTCTGTGAGCCTTTCCCCCAAATCACTCTCTCTCACTCCATGTGCCTACTGGACATCAAACGGATAGCCCATCAGCACCTCAAACTGAGCACATTCAAAAACATTCTCTCCTCTCTCCACATGCTTTCTTATTTATTAGGTAGCTGGACCATGATCATAGGACACCAGGCTTGAATATTGGACTCGTGTCTGACTCCCACCCCACCCTGCTCACCACAGGTCTTGAATTTACAATTGCGTGGATTTTGCCTCCACAATATTCCTAACACCTGCCCCTTCTTCTGGATTCTCATTTTTGCCATTAGCCTTTCATTTAACTTTAATCTAAAATATCAAGATAATTATATAACTTGACTCTTTCTAGCCACTCCCTTCTTGGAAAACAAAATTCTGATCATGTTCAGAAACTTCCAAGGATTTTTTTACAAAAATTCTTATTCAATTTTTTATTTCAATAACCTACACTATTTAGCTAAATATACTTGTCTAGCCTTATTTTTAAATTCTGTATTTTTTAACATTCATTTCCCCTTACGATAGAATGTAAGTTTCTTGAGAAATAGGGCTTTGTGTTGCTTGTCTTTGTGTCCCCTAGCTCTTCACACAGCACTTATTTTAGAATCTCAGTATACATGTTTTCATGGTGAATGAATAAATGAATGAAGTAGCCTTTACCCACCATCTCTTCATCCTGGAAATCCTGACATCCCAGACTAGCAGCAGAATTCTCTTAAGATCAAAGCTAATACAAAGACTAGAGTGGGGCTTCTCAGCCTGGGATGCACACTGGTATCACTGGGAAGATTTTGAGAAACACTAATGCTCCACCTCCAGAGTCTGATTTAATTGTCCTGGGTGGGATTCAGTAAACGGTATTTTTAAACATTCCCCAGGCAATTTAAAGTACACCAAAGTTAAAAACTTTTGAGCTAGAGAGTAAGTGTAGGCTGGGGAAATTTGAATTTAGTTTAAGATGAATTTTCCCGTACTATATTTACCCCAACAATCAAATCCACTTAAACGAATCCTTTCACTGTCTCTAGCATCAGAATTTGATACTTAATAGATCTACAGCTAATGGAAAATATACATGGAAAAAACAACTCATTTTAATAGAAAATTAGGCTTTAAAAATCTATATGTAATTATCTGCGATTGGACTATTCAAAAAGAGTATTACAAAACCAGAAAGCAAACCATCACAATTTGTGTCTGGGTTTTTTATTCCATTCAAGCAGTTATCTATTCATTTAACCAACATTAATATTCATTTATGTTTTGGTTGTTTATAATTTCAATTTTTAATTCATACAGAAGTGATTCCATATCAGGCTATTTTACATTTTAGACTTTATTGATCTTTAATACATCTTATGTGGTCATTAACAATATTGATTATCCTTGGAGTCACTAGGACCCTGGTAGGATCTTCAAGCTCATTACAGGTTTTGAATCCTTTAACCAAGCTTCAAAGAAGGAAAGGGAATAAATGGCGTAATCACTTCTGAGTTTTTAATGTTCCCATTATTTTGTCATGCTCTCTCTTTAAATACAAATATAACACATATTTTGAAATACATTTTGCATTTTAGATATCACCAAGAAGCCAATTAGTATTGTTTAACTAACCTTTCCTGTTTTAGAATGTAATCGACCTTTTTTAATATCACCATTGGTGACTCAGTAATTCCTCAACTAGTTTTGAAATACTGACCATTTTTTTCTTAATAAGTTCCTCTTTTGCCACTTCCCTCTCTCTTCTACCCCAACTCTGCTCTAAAACTGTCAATATTTCAGGATAACATAGAGGCAAAAGCAGAAAAATATTTAGTTTTTCTTTTTTTTCCTGAAACTAGTTGCAAAAAACCTGAAGCCCTCAGGGGAATGAAGAGGACTCAGAGTCTAGATATATATTTGAGAGGGAAATTCCTTAAAAACTAAAAATGTGCCACATCCCCACCCGCATCCAGGCTGGTTGGGCATGGAAGAGGGGAAATGATATAAGGAGGTTCCCTCTCCTCAGAGACATAGAAGGGATGTAATAAAGTGAACCACCTGAAAGAGTAAAGCAGGTGAGAATAGGAATGTGTAATAGTCACAAGCATGGACTCTGGAGCCAGACTTCCTGGGTTCAAATCCCAGCTCTGGAACTCAGTAGCTGTGTGGCCCTAGGTAAGGTATTGACAATTATTGTTGCCTAATTTTTCTAAACTATAAAAAAATGGAGATCAATGGAGTGCCTACATCGTAAAACCGCTTCAAGGATTAACTGAGTTGAGGATGCTGGAGAGGATGTCATCTCAACCCAGTCTCCCAGCTCCCCACGTACTTCACAACATCTTTTTCCTCCCTGGGCTCTGTGATGCTGCTTCATCCTTGTTCCTTCCTATTATCTTGATTATTCTCTCAAAACTTAGCTCATGTAAAATCACTTTCTTCAAGAACTGTCTTCTGGCCAATCCTCCAGGTCACAGGCATCCTAGAAATCCCCTGCCACCTGCTTAGGAAACTTCTCCAAGCTTTACCTCCTATCTTCTGAGCTGAATCTTTTCATTTTTCTTTACTTAATCCCCTTTACATGGACCTTACACTTGGATGGCATACCAGGCTTTTGATTTGGC